GCTCGCAAAGACTCCGCAGATAACTGAGTGGCCGAATAAAGCCTATCGGAGCCTATTGACAGCTGTCAAGACCAAAGAGTTGAGAGTGAGGTTGTCCCTCCTAAAACCCGAGAGGAAGCATAACTTCTTGAGGACTGTCCTTGCCATGATCTTTGCCACGACAGAAAGCGACAGAGAGCCACAGAGAGAGAGACAGAGAGAGACAGAGAGAGAGAGAAGAGAGGGGCAGGTGAAGAGAGAAGATGAGGGGGAGAGAATGGAGGAAGGGAGGGAGAGGAGAGGAGAGGAGAGAAAAGAGATTAGGGGAGAGGGGGGGAGGGTTCCAGGTCAGCACCTCTTCTGTACTTCGGGAGGAAGAGGCAGGCCGATGGGGTGTGCGAGGAAGCAGTCAGTGATCTTCTTGCCGTTCTTCCTCCTCCTGTCCTTGTCTGCCAGGCTGTTCTTGAAGCCGTGGAGGATGCGAAGGTACTGCTCCTTCTCGGTGTCGTCGAGTTTCATGACGCGATCTTGCTCTATCTTGCGGGCAAACCTGACTTCGAACTCCCGCAGCTGATCCGCCCCCAACTTCTCCCCTCCCAACCCCTTGATGAACTCCCCGAACATCTCCTGCTCTGACGGTCAGTGGTGGAGGAGGGGAGGGAGCGTGAGGGGAGGAGAAGGGAGGGGAGGCGGAAAGGTCGAGAAGGGGAGCAAGAGAAAACGGCGAGACGAGAAAGGAGAAGAGGGGAGAAGGAGCGCGAGAGAGTGGAGGGGACTGTGGAGATCAGAGGAGAAGTAGAGAGTGGGGAAGGGAAGGGGGGGGGGAAGGAGGGGAGAAGAATGAGAGGGGAGGGGAGAAGAATAAGGGAGAACAGGAGGATGAAACCTGTCGCAGCTCCTTCTCTTGCTCTTTTATCGCCTCGATCTCACTTAGTTGATTGCTGAACTCGATGAAAGCACACTTCTTCTCAATGGCGTCGGCAGTCTGCGAGAAGGATCAGAGGAGAAGAATGATCATCGGCGACGAGCAGGAGGAGAGGCGAGGACGAGGCATGAGGAGCTATGATGAGCTCGGGAAAGGAGAGACGACGGAGAGACAAGTGTCACACCTGAGGAATAGAGGGCAAGTACAAGGACAAGACGCAGACAAGGAGGAGGACGGAGGAGGACGGAGGAGGACGGAGGAGGACAGAGGAGGACGGAAGAGGACGGAGGAGGACGGAGGAGGACGGAGGAGGACGGAGGAGGACGGAGGAGGACGGAGGAGGACGGAGGGGGGAGGGGATGAAAGGGAGCATGCGGGGTGAAGAGGAGGGAGATCTGAAGGGAGGATGTTGACCTGCTCATGGGTCAGCCCAGCCTCCATTGGGAGGCCTCGAAGCTTCTTGTAGGCTCGTAGATGCTGCTCGACAGAGAAGCCGTCCGTGGGAATTTCAAGCTGCTTCGGCTGCTGCACCTCGATCCACCTGTCGTACTGACTGCGGGGCAGTCAGGAGGAGCAGGAGCAGCAGAAGCTGAAGCTGAAGCAGAAAAGGAGCAGGAGCAGGGGCAGGGGCAGGAGCAGGAGCAGGAGCAGGGAGAAGAAGGAGCTGGGGGAGGCAACGGAGGAGTGTAAGGTGCAAGGGCAACAGAAGAGAAGAAAACGAAGGAAGCAGCAGTAGAAAGAGAGGAGGAGGAGGGACCAGAAGAAAGAACACGAGGGGACGAGAGCAGAGCAGAGCAGAGGAACAAGAGGACAGGAGGAGCCTCACATATTGAGGGTGAGACTGTTCAGCGCCTTCTGGTACGCGTGACTCGTGCTCCTTGCTGACCTCACCGACCTCGCTCTCTCCCCCACCTCCACCTGACCGTGCTGCTGATCTAGGAGCAGGTCGACCTCCCGTGTCAGCATGTTCCTGGCCTTCGCCAGCTCCTCCGAGGAGAAGTTGCTCAGCTTCCAGTCCTGGGCCGTCTTCTCAAGGAGGAAGACCGGCTGGGCCTCTGTGCTCCTCATGCTCCTTATGCTTTTCCGTCCGCGCCGCGGGACGCCGTCTCCCCCTTGACCATGGATACGGATCGATCCTCCTCCTCCTCCCCGTCGCTCAGCTCTTGCTCTTCCATCAGATGCTGCTTCCTGATGAACTCCTCTGCTCGCGCTCGCGCTACCTCCCCCGTCACGAGGATATCCCTCTTCTTCACATGCTGAATCTATGCAGGTTTCAGGGAAAGATCCGGATACCTGCTCCTCCCTCCTCCCTTTCCCCTTCTCGCGTCCTCTCCTTGACACTCTCCAGCACACGTTCTCACAACCGAGCATCCCTCCATTCATCCTCCTCGTCTACTCCGTGCTCCCAGTCCACTCCCCCTCCATCATCCACCTCTCACCTGCTGGGGCGAGTAGGAAGGAGACATGGCGTAATGCGGCATGAGCAGAGCGTTGCTCGGGGGCTCGAAACTCTGTCAGCACTGCAGCCTCCCCCTCCTCTCTCCACCACCACCTTCAGCTCCAAGTTGTAGACCTCAAGCTCGGTGTGCGGGATGAGGGTAGGGAGCAACGTGATGGGTACCGGCTTGCCGATTGCATGCTTGACTTTCTAAAAGGCCAGTGAACACACTCTCCTTCCTTTCTCCTCGCACCTCCTTCTCCCCCTCCCCACCCGCAACTCCTCCCATCCTCCTTCCCCATCTCTTACCCCCTTCCACCCCCTCCTGCCTCGCGTCTGTTCCGCTCCTCCCTCCCTCCTCTCCCTCCTGCTGACCTCGCAGCCCGTGTTGCCTGTGATGGTGACGGCGAGAGACAAGTGCTCAATCCCAACAGCTCTGCTACTCAGAAACTGCCTGATGTAAGCAAGGTAGAGTTGAGAGTCGTCTTCGCTGCTGAACCACACTTCGCAGGGGGCCTTGTAGTCTCCCAGCTTCATGAACATCTTGTTGATGTTGTGCTCTTGCAAGGAGCATAAGAGAGGGAGGCAGCCAGCGACGGCTGGTCTCACCTCGAAAGCGGATCTTCACAACATCCGGGCAGCTGCCGCAAGAGCGGGTGAGGAGGAGCGAGGCTGCAGGGGGGGGCGAGGCACCTGATCTTGATCACCTTGGTGTCCTGCGATGCTGTTGGGGCTTGGATGTAGACGAGTGCATGCTCGCGGTCGACGTACATCATCTTGGGGACGGCCTGAAGTCCTTCTGTCACTTGACAGCACTCAACGTCGCTGGCCTCGGGGACCTGTTTCTTGACCATGTATACGACACGGAAGGACATCTGACACAGCTTCTGGTTGCCGAAGTGCGACCTCCCCGCTTTCTCGCAGTTCTTGCAGAACCCAACGAACGACGGGGCAAAAGTCTGCAAAAGGGTTTCAGTCTTGTTTTGCAAAACCCCCGTCCCAAGAGGCTACACGCACCTTGCCATGGAGCTCATAGCGGTCATAGAACTTGGAGTTCTTCTTCACCGGCTCACCTGTCAAGGAGTAGAGACAAGGGTTTGAGAACAGCTGCGAATATCAACAGCATAGTCCCTACTACCATTGTGCGAAGCCATGGGAGGGGAAGAGCTGCAATAAGAAGATCAGTAAGACATGATTTGGTTTCTTATAAGGGGTTGGAAAATTAATTCCGTCCCTCTCTTTCCTCTACCTCTCCTCTCCCTCTCTTTCCTCTACCTCTCCTCTCCCTCTCTTTCCTCTACCCCTCCTCTCCCTCTCTTTCCTCTACCTCTCCTCTCCCTCTCTTTCCTCTACCCCTCCTCTCCCTCTCTTTCCTCTACCTCTCCTGTCCTCCTCTTTCCTCGACCTCCCCTCACTGTCTCCTCACATTCATTGACTACCCGTTACCAACCGTTACGCAATAAATATGACTCACACCGGGTCCCGGTCGGCGGGCCACTGGGCCCGCTCCAAATAATTACTTAATGTTGAGTAAAACTGAATATGCTGGTCGTCTTATTTATTAGTTAACTAGAAGGGACAAATAGGAGCATCTTCACATTACGTATTTTGTAGTACATACCCTCCTTCTCGGAGCGCACTGCGATGAAGGGAGCGCATGGCGGCTGAGACGGAGATTCTTGCAGCAGAGGATGAAGGTCAGGAGATATTACCTCAGAGCAACATCAGCTGCTCTCAGCCAGATCCGGCAGAACAAATTCCTCATGCATGGCTCGACTATCTGGTGGAAAGCAGTCAGATGCAGGGTCATAGACTACAGGACAGTCTTGAAGAAGCTCGGTCAAAGATCTTCTCGCACAAGAGCTTCGAAGTTCTCTGCTCCTCTCATCCCCTCACCTGGTTTCTGTCCGTGAGGATCTTCCAAGCGCTTCTGGTTGTCATTGCTGTGCTTCTTCTCTTTGCGCCACCCTTTGAGTCAGCGGTATGGTCGCTTGCGAGCTTAGATCAGTCACAAGGAGGCTCTCGCCTCTTTCGCTTCACAGCAAGAAGGCTTCGGAATGGACTGAAAGGATCTGCCATATTATCTCCTGGGTTACAGTCCTTCGGAGTGCTGCAAGGGGATTGTTTGATTCCGAGGTATCCGCAGGGAGACGCCAATGCTGGGGGTTACTTGTATGTCGACGAGAGGCGAGGAGCTTCCGTGACTCTCAAGTCAGATGCTCCGCTCTCTTTCGACGGCTGGTACATCCTGACGTCCAACGCAAGTAGTGAGTTTGACCCCGTCGAGTTCACGCTCGAGTCCTCCGGTGATGGCGAGCACTGGAAAGTCTACGTGATGCCGTCCATGCTGTCGTTGGATCGAGTGGTTCCCGTCCCTGTAGGTCAAGACGTGGCTGAGAGTGACTTCTCGAGGATGTTGGCTCCGTTTCAACGCAACCAAATCGTCAAGTTCGAATGGAATGACCTCACATGCCGATGGCCTGCCTACGCAAGAGTCGTGGAGCGATTCTTGAAAGCGTCCGGGCTCTTGTTCCTTGGAGCATGCGCATATTGGGGCAAGTTTGACGCATCGGTACAGGCAAGTGTGCTTGTAAACTTCCTACTCACATTCGAGTGACGGGATGATGGCAGATGCTGTTCTTGGGATATTTCCTCGCAGCTATTGTTGGCATCTCCAACTTCATCGTCACGGTGGGCAGCTGCAACCTAGATGTGGGGTATGCGGCGCTGATCGAGAGCCTCACGGTTCTTCTCGTCTCTTCCTCTCCTTCTTCTGAGTCTGTTTGCTCCAGATCCTGCTGCTCTTCCCTTGCCCTCTGATGATTCACGAGTGCCTGGTGTTGGAGCTTGGGGCGGTGTCATCGGCGATTCTGTTTGGGATGCAGGTTGCGCTGAGATCAAGCGGAGCATACGTCAGACTGGTCGCCCTGCTCTTCTTCCTTGTCCTGATGGCAATCCGTGAGTACCTCAGGACTTGCTCCCGCAAGTCTGCAGTGAAGCACCAGGCCGAGCTGGATCAGGTCTGGGAGGACATTCTATCGCAAGAAGACGACTCAAAGTTGAGAGTGCTAGTCGAAATGGCAGAAGCCTTTTGTAACAGCGCAAAGAAGCCAACAAACTTGCGGCAATTTCGCCTGGCGTACATTCAAACAAGCGAAGGGGATGTAAAGACAGACGTGGAAAGGATTCGAACCCTGGAATCATTTTCAGCGCTGAAAAGAACTCGCTCTTCTTCTACGCATGCTTCATTTGGAGCTTTCACCTCGTTTGCAAGTGTGACGCTGTCTGAAACAAACGACATCACTAGTTTTGACCAACTGTACGCCCAGGGAGTGACGATGCAGAAAGTGTTTGTTGATAAGTTGGTGGTCATCGTGGAAGAACTACAGAACTCGCATGGGTCTACCGCTCGTTTCCATGAGACTCCCATGAAGAGCTTCGAGGCAAGCTATGAAAAGATCCTACGAAAGTACCATGGAGCTGTTGCAAGACACACGGATCTGGTGCGGCAGAGCATCGTCTTCGAGCGGATACAAGACATCACAGACTGTTTGCAAGTGTTGTCAAGGGATCGCGAGGTTGTGATTGTGAGCCTCACGAACAGACTCGCTGTGGGGGATGACAGCAGACACTTGGGACAGGTCAGGGATGTTTGTCTAAAGGTAAGGTTGGTCACAGAGCAATCGCGATTCTACGGCACGTGCGCGTTCGTCTGTGAACTTCGACTGGTCCTGGCCCGTCTGCAAGCTGCGGCAACCCCGAGCATGTTGGAAGACTTGAAGACTTACCGGCGCATCCACCAGATCGACTTGCGTGCGAGATGCTCCTTGTTCATGTCGAAGCTTGACCCGCTTGCCTGGTTTTGCATGCTGAGTCCTGATAGGATTCGTAAACTTTCAAGGGTCGTGGTGGACAAGATTAGCGATATGGGCAAGGAGGTCGGGTCTTTGAATTCACTCTACCGGTCTGCCGCTCACTCCATGACTGAGACACGAAGGCAGAAGGACTTGCTGAGACAAAGATGTCTGTTTGCTGGCGATACTCTCGGGGCGAGGCTCCAGGAGCTGCGACTCGCAGTCAAGAAGGCCGGGACAGCCAGCGTGCTCTTCACATCTATCCCGTGCACGTTGGCGATCCAGAAGACCTGGTTCAAGGTGCTGCTGCTGGCTGGCGGCACCTTTTATCTAATCTACACGTTCGGGCCCGGAGGGATCTGGTATGAATTCACTGGTCGACAGGTGTTCCATGTACATGCAGCCAGGATGAAGGTTGTGCAATGGCGGGAGGCTGCGCTACCAGCCGGGGGGAACTACTCGCTACAGCTCGGGTGGATCTTGGACGGATGTAAGGTCTCTTCGCCGGTGGAGGGAGTGGAGGTGGGAAACGACTTCTACTTCTCCTTCAAGACTCTCGAAGCCGCAAACGCCTTCTACTTCATTACCGACAGTCGTCCCGGCACCCAGGGAGGTGACCCCGTCCGCTTCCAGCTGGAGGTCACCTCGACCTCAACAGAGAGCCCGTGGGAGCTCCAAGACTCCAGCTGGATTCTGAAAGCAGGCACCCGATGCAAGTGGGACCTTTACAGCACCGCCTGCATTCCCTTATGGGAGGAGCCGTACCCAACGACCCTAAAGCGAGGAGCTGAGAACGTGATTTCGCTGGTCCCGCCCCTCTATCAAGCTGTTGGCACCATCTTCTACCTCTTCCCGGTGATGTTTGCCTGCCTCGGTGGTGCCTTGGCGAGCTTCCTCGGGTGGCCCCGTACGGGCGTTGTGATCTTTTCCATGTGTTTTTCTGTGCCTGCCTTTTTCGAGATCGCTACTGGAATCTGCAGTGCGATCAATGGCTTGGCGATCGACATCCTGTTCTGGTTCTTTCAGGGTTTTGCAGCGTTGGTCACCGGACTGCTCCTGGTATTCTGGGAGGAGAAGTTCTTTTCGTTTCTTCCTGTCAATGCACTGATGAACTACTTTGCCATCAACTTCCACTATTCCTATGTGTTTGGCAGAAGAGGCTTTCAGGTTCCCATCAGCGGATCCATCCTGATTCTTTGCTGGCTGGGTGTGCTGCTGCTGCGGAGGATGGCGATCCATCGAGCACGGCGGGGGATCGAGGACGACGTGAAGCATTACGACGAGGTCTGGCAAGCGCTGACGACCAATCGAGAGACCATGGAGCAAGTCATGAGGCTCAAGGCGATGGTAGATGCCGGGCCCGAGGCCTGGCGCAAGGGAGTCATCTATCAGTTCCAAGGGAGGGACCAGGGGCAGAGCCCCTCAGGGTTCGACTGGGTCGTGCGACATGACACGAGCAAGATCGCATGTCTGGATCAGCTCTACAATCAGGCCATGCTGCTTGAGCTGCCCTACCTGCGCAAGGTGAAGGAGCTGCTCAAGAAGTGGGGGGGGCTAGTGCAGGAGGAGGAGGAGAAGGAGAAGGAGGAGGAGGAGGAGAAGGAGGAGGAGGGGCCAAGGGAGGTCAGGTGGGTGAGGTACGAGGGAGAGGACACGCAGCATCGACCCGGCTGGGCGAGGCTCAAGGGCTTCGATCGGGCGATCGAGAAGCTGTGCAGGTCGTACAGGGGGGAAGTTTGGCGGCTGCTGGACGTGGTGCGGCAATGCATCGTGTTCGAGAGCATCGAGGACATCTCGAGATGCTTCCAAGGGATCTGCGAGGACGAAGAGCTTGTGATCCTGCGCGTCAAAAATCGTTTCGATCCCCAGTTCACGTCGCAGCAGTCAGGAGCGTACCGTGACCTATGTCTCAACGTCCGTCTTGACAACGAAGAGACTCGTCGACTGGGTGTGAACTTGCACGTGTGCGAGCTGCAGTTGTCGCTCAAGGACTACAAGGCCTGGGCCATGCACAGTCAGGGGCACAGGCGGTACGTCGACTATCGAAACACAAGAGGAGAATGATGTCAGGTTCTTCTCTGTTGTGCTTGCATCTTATTCTGGGCGAAAGCTTTCTCTGTTCACGTTGGAGAACAACAATAGTAAACAGTTTCTTTCTTCATAACGATGCCGATGATATCTCAACCTTTTTCCTTCCCTCCATCTTTGCTCAAGCATCTGCTCCCCTTCAAAGTCTCTTCCTTGTTCGAACACACCTTGACTCGTGCCATTCGTTCCTTGATCAGTGCTCCACAGCTACTCAGCGCACTAGTCATCCAGCCGTTCCATTGAGATCACCCGACCTGGTCGGACTAGGAGGCCAACGGGCAGCCAACGAGGCAGCAAACGAGGCAGCAAGGATGAAAGAGCGTTTTCACAAACACGGAAGCCACCGCGTGTGGATTAAACTATCAGGGTACAACTGGCGAGGATCAGGCTGCAAACGAGCCATGGGAAGGAACGAGTAGGAATTCCACGGGAATCGCCGTACAAGGCTAAACTGAACCAACTCTGACGGTCTACTGCCCTGGCTGTGATGCCGAGGAAGCGATTCTCTTGATGTACATGTCTACCATCTTCTTCTCCTGCGGTCAACGGCAAGACGTCAGTGAGGGAAGCAGGATGGAAGGAAAGATGTAGTTGCCTCCATGTGCTTCTTCCTCTGAACCAGGAAGCCCACGAGGCCGATGGAGAGGCCGACCACCCCGAACAGCAGCATCTGCATGCACTGCTGTCAGGAGGCGAGGCGAGGAGACTTCAAGGATTGTTGGCAAGGTCTGACCGGGGCTATCACAGCCAGGAGCTTGGGCGATGGGCGGAATATGACGTTAGTGACGGTAGTTCGGGCGACGGGCTCCTGCTCAAGGCAGTCATGGCGATGGACTCATGGAAAAGGAAGGTATCACTCCATCGAGAGTCAGCGTGATGCCTGTACAAGGAGGGTCATCGGACCTCGTTCAAGGAGGAGTTGAGCCGCTACTACCTGTCAGGCCTTCGTCGTGCATCGCCTTCTCCAGGATCCCGTCCTTGACGACAGTCTTCAGCTGGGAACGAGGGCCGTTACTGGTAGCAGGGGACGATCGACCCTGCCTCACCGTCTTCACCATGGTGTCTGCTGCCGGGTTGTCAACTACGGCCAGCTGCAGGGAGATAAGGATGGTTGGCGTGCTTGTCAAGGTCGAAGGAGTCTGGATCTGACTGGTTTGCACCCCAACCCCTGAAGTGAAGGTGCTCGAGCCATCAAAAGTAAAGTCCGCAGGCTTCACGTCCTGGGCAGACCTCAGCACCCTGTGCTCTCCCGCCATGGCACCTCATACCTGCAAAGACACCAGCGAGATGTTGGCAGCCGAGGAGGCGACGGTGGTGGCGAGCACACGGATGAAGACGGTCTGTCGGACTGAGTCGAAGGAAGACCTTGTGGCTCCTGACACGCGGAACGTGACGGTGACGCTGGGAGAAGAGGAGGAGATGAGGCTCGGCATCGATAGCGTGTTGTACCCTGCACTTGAGCGTCATCGAACGTGAATGCTGATGGGACGAGGTGAACGTCGTCAACTTGCCTGGCTGTGAACAATCAGCTCCATAGTAGTAGGAGATTTTGCCCTGAATTCCAGCCTGGCAGTTGCAAAGGGGAGGGGAGGTAGGGCTGACTTGATAGCACCCCACGGAGCAGCCAGTGACATTAATCCCTACACAAGTCCCATGCCCTGAGCACGGGAGATCTTGACCTGGACAGGCGTTCTCGCATGCAGAGCCTGTCCATCCTAGAGTGCAGGTGCAGGAGCCATCGGCTCCACATGTCCCGTGCCCCGAGCAAGGGTTGGACGACCCTCCCTTGCACTCTATCATACAGTTGTCCCCACGGAAACCGTTGTTGCAGATGCACTTGGCAATGTTGGAGTCGAGCCTGGCCTGGTTGCAAACTGCCCCCGTGGGCACCTGGCAGAACCCACGACCTTGAAATCGACATTTCAGAATTCGCAAACAACAAGGTCACTGCCTACACACCTCCACACGCAACCCCCAAGTAGTCCGGGCATCGGAAGCAACAGTCTGTCCCCCGGTACAGGGTGGAGCAAGAGCAGGTCGCGTCAACCTCGCAGAGACCATGTCCGTTGCATGGAGTCACGCTGCCGCCAGGGCAAGCGATGCTGCAGTCAGCACCTCGCCATCCTCCGTAACAGGAGCACGACCCGTCGGCCTCGCAGAAGCCATGGTTCAGGCAAGGAGAGCTGCTTCCTCCGATGCACTCGATCGAGCAATCGCCTCCCCGGAAGCCCGGGTAGCACGCGCAAACAGCTCCGTTTACCCCCGACGGCATGCAGTCGCCCTGCCTTGAGCACGGCGAGGCTTCGCCCCCAGGGCACTCAGCGGTGCAGTTCTGACCCTGCCAGCCGTTGTTGCAGGCACAGATAGCCGTCTGATAGTTGCACTCCCCCCGGGCGTTGCAGATGGGCAGGTTCCCGTTGGTCGTCGGGCAGTCTCGCACGCAGTTGATCCCTGCCCTGCTCTCGTTCTGACACCGGCAGACCTGGTAGTCATTGTCTCGATACCTGTACGGAAGACACTTGAGCCCTGCAACGGCGGTGCAGTTCTGGTCGCTGGTGCAGAGAGCGTTCACTCCAAAGTAGATCTTCTGCTGGGCCCTGACCTGAGGGAGACACAGGACGCAGAGCACCAAGAGCGAGGTCGAGAGGCATTGATGGCTGGATCTGAAGCCTTGCCTAAGTTGCCTCCGGCGCTTTGCTACCGCCATTTCTGAAGAATCGCTCTGCGGATGATGATCTACCCTGTTTGATACCATCTTCGTGTGATCGCGCTCTTCCTCCTCCTCTTCAGTCCTCCTCCTCTCCCTTGCAGAAAACTGGAGCTACGGTGCTCGCCATGGGCGGTAGTTTGACTACAATAAAAATTCATTAAACTTGGCAATTGCAATTAAACAGGGGTGGGAACATCTCCTAACATGATTAGCTCAAACAGGGGGGTAGGGTTGAAGATTTCCCATCAAAATTTTATATGATATAGAATTCCCCTTTTGTTCCCATCCCACCTACCCCACTGGACACTACATCCTAAAAGTACTAAAGTACCCCTTCTTTTTCCAAAACATGATTGAAATTTTCTAGGGTACTTTGACCACCCCAATTGCTGAGTACCCTACCACTTCCCCGTCGGTTGCTCTCATTGCAGTGTGGATAGTGTACCCCATCTCTCTGTTCTACTACCCCCTTTTTCGAGAAAGTAATCAAATAGACCCCTGTATTTGAGCCAAATTTCATCGTAGAGGGTGGGTACATTCTGGTACCTCCTGGCGCCAAAGGTACCGCTGTGGTACCCCTACCCTTCCAGAACAAGACCAGTTATCAATGCAGCCGGCTGCCTTACCTGGCGCCATGGCGCGTACGGCAGGAGGAAGAGGAGCAGCAAGAGGAGCGCGATAAACGAAGAGGAGAAGCCAAGACTGCACATCATCCCTTCCTCTCCCTCCTGCTTCCCCTACTCTCCCCCCTCTTCTCTCCTCTCTACCCATTCCCAGGTAAAACCCCACAAATGTGTGCGGGGCGAATGAGGTGTTGATGATTGCTGCTTGAATGAGATGATGAGGAGACGGCTGGTTTGACCTTGTTGTCATGTGACGTCAGATGCTGTCATGGCCTCTTGAAGTGGTTGAGTTTGTTGTCAACCCCCTTGAACGACCACAAATGTTGGAACGACCACAAATGTTGCAAACCCTGCAGAGTTCTCAGGCACATGTGATGCGAAAGTTGCTATTCATGCCATCACCCGAATGCATAAATGTATAATGGAGTGAAAACAATGTTTTTTATTTCGCTTTTGGACATGCTTGAAGCAATCGCGCCTTATGCTCATCCACTCTTCAGGATGGATTCGATCATGGATACCGCCAGCCCAAGTCGGCTATCGTACAAAGAATCGAAGGACTTCATGTCGGAACATGTGGACCTGATGGTGAAGACTCTGGACAAGAAGGAGTTCTATCTTCAGGTGCTCACCCTGCGACCCAGTCGCGTGCATTGCTGATGGCGAGGCGTGCAGGTCCGGTCGGACATCGAGGTGTCGGAGCTGAAGAAAGAGGTCGCCAGCACCACCTCCATCGCCGTTGAGAGCCAACGGCTGATGTCGTGAGTTCTGCTGGAGCATGTTGCTCGACTCTGCTCAACTGGGTGCGGGCAGGGCGGGGTGTGAGATGGTAGATACCAAGAGGCTTTCGGATTATTCCAAATCGCCGTCGCAAGTGATCTACCTTGTGGTCAAGTTCCCAGGAGCAGCCTTCGCTGCACCGCAGCAGGTGAGGGAGAGGAGATGGTAGGAGGACAAGGACTGATACCCTTCTGGCAGGAGAACGACGATGAGCTGCCCACCACTGCTGGGGAGGAGAGCGTAATGCGATCTAGCAGGATCGTGCTCCGAGGGACCGTTACCATACCCGTGCCAGAGCGGGAGATGCACAGAGTCGTGCATAGGATACTGCATCGTGGAAACGGGACGCCAAATCTGCAGGAAATCATGTCGTCGATATCGTATATACCAAGGTGAGGTGCAGACTTGCGCTTCCGTGCTGAAATTCTTCAACCTGAAGGACTCGGCGTCATGGAGGTAGTTCAGAACTCCAATCAGCAAGGAGAAACGTGCACGCGGGTTCCTCGCTCCACCGAAGGTGCACATCCTTGTGCTGCTGCTGCTCAGCTTCTCGGTGGCCATGGAGACTGAGCTCGAATGGCAGGCAAAGGAGACGTAGGATCCAGCACCCTTCAGCGGCAGGAATTCCCCTGTCCTTCAACCCTAGCAGAATCAACCAATTCATCGACCTTCCCCCAAGGTCCTCGCACGATTATGGCGCAATGGCCGATTCGGATTGGTCAGAGTACTTTGATCTTGAGGTGAGAGAGACGTTCGTATTGAAGCCCGAGCTGATACGATCGTTGGTTTCAGCTGCAACCGAGCATGTTGTCGGATGTCTACGAATCTTACGATGACCCGATCGATGACCGGTTGGATGATTACACGAGGCAGAGCACGTACATGGTAGATCAAGAGTCGGAGCTCGGACTTGACGACCTGATCAACGATGACAACGGTCTTGCGCTGTCGGAGAACTCCGTCTCAGGTGCATCTCAAATGTGCTGGCCTCCCATGGTGACCGGATGATGCAGAACGGTCTCATCTCCGCAACTCAGGAGAGGATCTGCAGTCTTTCTCACGGGACCTCAACGCCCTTGGGGATCGACTTGCGGCCCAATCCCTCTCGGGCTCTCGGGCTACGATGCTGGATACAAGTGAGTTGTGCACTCCTACTTACACGCTGCTGACACGTGTGTAGGTGCGCATGATGGTAGTGGTTCCGGCGAAGGAGGAGCGACGGACATATGGAGTGAGGGAAGGATGAGCAGGAAACGGAAACATTCGGAGATTTGCGGTGAGACTCGTGACGACTTGTTGACGACGAGGGGAGAGGAAAGAAAAGCTGGAATGGAGTGTGAGAGGCAGGACGGGAGGAGGTGAAGATGGGGATGGGATGAGGCTTGAGAGGGCTGCTTGTCTGGTTCGGTCAGAGCTGATCGACTGTGCGTGCAGGGGAGTACAGCTCGGAACAAAGGTTAACGGCGAGGTGCAGGAGTCAGATTTCAGGGGACAGTGAGACTTCTGAGGAAGGCGAGAGCTCTGGAGTTGCAGCAGGGGCCCACTCGCTGACTCAGGACGAGGACCGGACGATGTCGCAGGGAGCAGGGAGGAGCTCGGGGACGAACAGCAGCTCGTCGCTGGAGCGGAGCTGTGAGGACAGGACTAGTCTGCAAGCTGCGAGCACGGATGCCGATGCTTCGATCCTTGACAAGGAGGAGACGGACGAGGCTGAGGTACGAGGGGCCCTGGAAGTTTTCTCGTCCCGGAGTGTATCCGAGGAACCAGTTGAGGAAAGCAATGTGGAAGGTGTACACCATGTAACGCGACTGGATGCGTTTCAGAATGTGAATAACTGTTTAACGAACATGGGGGAGAGGGAGGGCGAGGAGGAGGAGGACGAGAATGAGGACGACGAAAGAAGCGAGGACGAGCATGAGGACACAAGCGAGGACGATGACGACGATGACGTTGAGGCACAGGAGCAGACGACCGAGTCTCATGACGTGCAAGAGAAGGAGGGGCTTGTCTCTGCTGTCACCAGCACGTCCTCCCTCGGCCCGCTGGACTTGCAAAGTTGCGACAGTGAGAGCGTGGAATCAGCCCGAGCGAGTCAGGAAGAAGGACTTCACATCTCCATGGAGCCGTTGCCCCGGTCGATCAGCATCCCGAGGGAGGTTGGCTCAGGGAGGGGAGGGAAGGTGGAAGGAGAGCAGGAAGGGGAGAGGGACTCGACGGTAAAGACTGCTGCTGCTTTGCCACAGCAGCAGCAGCAGCAGCAGCAGCAGCAGCAGCAGCAGCAGCGGGAGGAAGCGGAAGAGGATAGCAGAGCCAATATTGTACAGGTGATCTTGTCTCCTTCCTCCTTGTACTCTGTTTGATCAGCATGCAGGCGATGTACAAGACCGTCCCGGATGTGGTAACGAGGACGGAGGTGGCTGCGCCTGCCCCAGCCGGTGTGAAGGAGGGGAAGGTCAGCTCGTACCCTGCTGGGGAGGAGGAGACGCTGCGAGGGAAGAACAAATGTTGCAGCATCATGTGACAACATGTGAGATATTGTTGAAGTTGTACTTGTAGTAGAGTTTGACAAGTGACGTCAATCCCCGGAGATGATGGAGGAGACTGAGGCCGAGTCAGAGTCCAAGACCGAGCCTCCTTCACCTCCGTCCGATCGTGTCCGGCTCGTCGGCTCCACCGTCTCCGTGTCCATCCTCTCCTCCTCCCCCACCTGCAGTGCGTGAGCTGCAGCAGGAACAAGCCTCCTCCTCTTACTCTCACCGCCCCGTGCTCTGTCAGCTCTCGCATCTCCTCATTGGTCGCCTCCCTGGCGAAATCGAGGAGCATGCAGACGTCGGGGAGGCGAGTGATCTGAGTCCAGACGTCGATGTTGAGCTGCGGGCAGAGGAGGAGCGACTGCCGGGTTACGCTGCCGTCCTTGAGGGCCTGCAGGAGAGGAGAGGAGCAGTCAGGCCGCTTCCTGTGGGTCATGGAGCAAGTCACGTGGAGCAGCTCCGGGAAGGAGTAGAAGGGAGTGAGCGCTTCCTCCTCCTGCATGACGCTGAACACGTGCGGCCGCATCGCCGACACGATGTTGAGGATGATGTCTGCGAGGGCGTAAGAGTGAGGGACGTCAAAGTACAGCAGGAAGAGCAGCAGGCGCAGCAGCAGCAGCAGCAGCAGCAGCAGGCGCAGGACCTCGATGGATCTGCTTCTTGGAAGCGAGATTGAGCTTGAGGTCCGCATCCCTTACAAGCTGCACCTTAAATCTGCGACATTTCAGCAAGGGGCAGGAAAAGGAGGGAAGGGAAATTGCAGAGAGGAGAAGCGGCAGGAGCAGGAGGAGTACAAGAAGGAGGGGGAGGAGGAGGAGGAGGAGGAGGAGCAGCAGCAGCAGCAGCAATCAGCCCTACATCCTGTCCAGTCCCGAGGAGTCGGCCGCACGGCGGAGGAGGGTGAGGGAGAGGCGGCTGTTGACGGGGCCGTAGAGGAGGGAGCGGACGAGGAAAGCTCCCATCCCATCCACGTTCTTCTCGTCCACTGCAGCACCAAGTGAGGAGCCTGAGGACGTGGAGATGCCAGCACCTCTCAGCACGCGATCCCCAGCTCGGATCCCCGCTGCCTCGGCGGGCGACTTCCTCCTGACGCCCTTGATGCAGGCGAGCCTGATCTGGGAAGTCAGCTCGCTGCCAGCTGGGGTTAGGCTCCACTCACATGCTCCCGCTCCTCGGGTCCTCCATGTCCTCCACCTCCGCCCCGATCCCTCCGACGGTGTCCAGCACCGACCTGCTGTCTGTCAGGTGGAGTCCTGTACTCCTTCCTCCCCCTCCCAACCCCCCGTGAGCCTCACCGCCCGGCCGGCCTCCTCGTCGTCCCGTGCTCTTCCTCCTCTCCTGCGACTGAGACGTCCTCCTCCGTCGCATCCCCTGAGCTGTTGTCTTTATCCTTAACTCCCACTCTGTCCTCTTCGCGGAAGAACTCTGTTCACTCTGTCAAGGAGCAGAGCAGGAGCAGGGCAGGCGTGACAGGGGTAGGAGGAGCAGGAGCAGAAGGAAAACAGCAAGGAGAAGGAGGAGGAAAAGGAAAACAGCAAGGAGAAGGAGGAGGAGGAGGAGAAGGAGGAGGAGGAGGAGAAGGAGGAGATTCAGCAAGACGAGGCACTTGAGGAAGAGGAAGCAAAGGTGTGAGCGAGCGAAAGGAGGAACAGCAGGAACAGATGCAGCAGCTGGTGGAGCAGGAAGAGGAGAGCTGGAGGAGGTGGTGGTGGAGAAGGAGGTGGTGGTGGTGGTGGAGAAGGAGAAGGAGGAGTTGGTGATGGTGGTGGTGGAGGAGGAGGAGGAGGAGCAGCAGCAGCAGCAGCACTAGCAGCAGCAGCAGCAGCAGCAGCAGCAGCAGAGGATTTCGACCTATCGAAAGCTGCAAATGAAGAGCGCCGCTGGAGATGACCGTCTCCCACGAGTCAGGCTGAGTCATCGGCAGCCATGAATCCTGCAGTGAAAGTAAGAGGAGTGGAGGAGAAGAAGAGGGGGGAAGAATAAGGACAGAAGCTCGAGGGCGAGGAGCGTGGGAACGTGGAGTTGCAAAGACAAACCGAACAGGAGAGGAGAGGAGAGGACGGGACAGGACAGGACAGGACAGGACAGGACAGGACAGGACAGGACAGGACAGGACAGGACAGGACAGGACAGGACAGGACAGGACAGGACAGGACGGGACGGGACGGGACGGGACGGGACGGGACGGGACAGGACAGGACAGGACAGGACAGGACAGGACAGGACGGGACGGGACGGGACGGGACGGGACGGGACAGGACAGGACAGGACAGGACAGGACAGGACAGGACAGCAGTGGGGCAGGGGAGGGGAGGAAGAGAGAGCATGTAGAGTAGAAGAGAGACAAGCGGGGAGACAAGAAATCAACCTGCTCATCCTGCACCCGGATGGTCGACCTGATTGGGTCCACATCAAAAACTCCTCCAGTCACGCAGGTCATCGCCGTTGCCAGCAGGCCTGCTGGCTCCTCCTGCCCCTTGTACGAGTACAACTCGAGCTGCTCGAGCCAGTGAGCCCGGGGTTAGGAAGATCCTCCCGTCCTCCATCCTACTCCCCCTGTCCCCTAGATCTTCCTTGCTATTGTCAAGCCCTCCTTGGTCCTCCATTCATCTCTACCTCCCTCCCTCTTGCTTTGCCTCTCCCTCCCTCCCTCCCTCCCTCCCTCCCTCCCTCCCTCCCTCCCTCCCTCCCTCCACCTTTCCTGCCTCTCACTCACCTCCAAGGCAACAGGAAGCGAAGGCACAGCAACGACGAGCGGCTCTTTCCACGAGAGGGTCGGCGACGCCTCCACCACCCTCGTGTTCTGCTTGTGCTGGAACCCGGGACAGGACGCGCGGAGGGAGAAGAAGAGAAAGTCTGCTTCCTTCATCTCCACATTCTTGTCAGAATTCATGAACACGTGCGGTCGGATCGCCTCCACTATCCGCACCACCACGTTGGCGACCGGCTCCTCCTCCACCATGCTCGCGAACCCCAGCTCGCTGCTTGCTGTGAAGTGCTTCTCCGTCCCCAGCTTCCCGCCGTTGGGCCGCTGCCGCTCGCGCGCCAGCGCCTGGTCGAGGCCAAGGGGCAGCCCCTTGTCGTCCACCAGCCCCTGCCGCTGCACCACCGACAGCAGCGTCATGATCCGCTCCTGCCTCCTCGGCCGCTCGCTAGGAGCGTTCGTCATCTCGTCCAGGATGTCGGACACGTTCCTCTCGTGCATGGCCGACAGCAGCTCTCCCTTCAGCTCCCCCGTGCATCTCCCGAACTCCTGCCCCTCGCTCCCCTCGTCGTCGTGCTGGAAAGCGCTCTCCAGGTACTTGCGGTTGCGGTACTTTCTGATCCCCTTCTCCGCCTCCTTCACCCACCCTGGCGCGTCCTCGATGAAGAAGGCGAAGGCGATCTTGACCAGAAAGATCGCGTGCTCCATTGCGAGCATGAACCACAGCATCGTCACCCGCCCCCGGAAGTCCTTCCCCAGGGAGCTCAGCTCGTCTGCCGTCTTGTACTGCACGGCGTCTGGCGGGCTCGAGCTGGGCAGGTCCTGGGTGAGGCCGAGGAGGTCGCGGAGGGAGAAGGAGCCGAGGCCGAGGAGGAGGACGTTGCAGATGAGACCCAGGTAGGCGAGGAGCTCGAGCACTTCGATCCAGAACTCCAGCTCCTTGGCATGCTTGATCAAGGGCCGTCGGCTGTAGGAGGTGAGCTTCCTGGCGTCCAGCCGGACTTCGACAAGGTTGTTTATCCAAGAGAGGAGGGGAGCGATAGAGAAGGCGGCGGAGAAGAGCGCGATGTAGCCTGTGCGTCATGTGAGCAATGCGTGAGAAGTGCTATGATGATGATGATGATGATGAGGAGGAGGAGGA